TCTGCCTCTAGTCATAGTGTGTGCTCGGTAACGACAGTGTCATGGTCGACAGAGAAGGTGAGTGGTCGGCTCACCCATGCCGGTGATCCAGAGGGCCAACAAGTGGTATCAGAGCCGTACAAGCACCGTCGTTGGACTAACCGCTGGCGATGACGAATGGTTTGGAGATGGGCGATAGCAGTGGCACTGTTGTGGCTGCCCAGCCATGATAGGAGGTCGTTGTACGCATGGTGCGGGAGGTCAGCGGCGCCAGTTGGCCGACGCTGACTCGCACCAACTATGACAAGTGGGCGGTGACCATGAAGGTCAAGCTCAGAGCCCGACGGCTCTGGAATGCTATTGGCAAAGGCACTGACAACGAAGAAGATGACATGTCAGCATTGGAGGTTATTCTCGCTGCTGTACCGGTGGAGTACAGGGAGCCGTTGGGGGCGAAAAGCTCTGCTAAGGAGGCGTGGGAGGCCATTGCGGCAATGCGCGTCGGTTTCGACCGCGCATAAAAGGCGACGGCCCAGCTGCTGAAGTAGGAGTACGCCAACCTCAAGTTCAAGGATGGTGAATCGGTGGAGGACTTCTCCCTCCGCCTGCAAACGCTCATCAGCAAGCTGAGGAGCCATGATGTCACCATCGACGAAGAAGAGGCGGTCTCCAAGTACCTGCACTCCGTGCCGATGAAGTACATCCAGATCGCTCTCTCCATAGAGACGATGCTGGACTTGTTCACCCTCACCATTGAGGATGTGACAGGCCGTCTGCGGGGGGTGGACGAGCGCATGGAGCAGGCCACAACAACGAAGGATAGCGGTAAGCCGCTGCTGACAGAGGAGGAGTGGGCTACTAGGAGGAACTCCAGGGTAGCCTCCTTCAGCCACGGTGGCGATGACAAGCGCCGCGGCAAGGCTTCTTCGGAGAAGAAGAAAAAGAAGGTCGACCCCAACGTCTGCCGACGCTGCGGGAAGACGGGCCATTGGGCAAAGGAGTGCCCAAATCGCAAGCAGAAAAAGAAGGCTGGTGCATGCTGCTGCTTATGATGAGGCCACTATCCTGATGGCGACATTCTGTGCACTGCACGATGTTGAGGCCGAGGAGAAGGGAGAGGTGATGGCGGTGGAAGGGCCTGGGAAGCCTATGAAAGCTGCCTACCTTGACGAACCGCGCCCAAGTCCATCTCGGACGTATAGGCGGCGAAGCAGGAGCAGCGGTGGTACCTGAGACTCCGGCGCCAGCAACCATATGACGGGCTCCAAGGCAGCCTTCTCTGAGCTCGACAACGACGTGACCGGCACGGTGAAATTTGGTGATGGCTCAAGGGTGGCGATCCGAGGGCGCGGCACCATCATCTTTAGGTGCCAGAATGGCGAGCACCGCACGCTAATGGATGTATATTATATTCCGCAGCTGCGTTCAAGCATCATCAGCATTGGCCAGCTGGATGAGCGCGGTAGCAAGGTACTGATCAAGGACGGCGTCCTCAGGATCAGGGACCGGGAGCAGTGACTTCTTGCTAAGGTAAAGAGGTCCCGAATCGGGTTGTACCTGCTCAATTTAAAGGTGGAGTAGTCGGTGTGCCTAGCAGCATGGCACACCGAGGAGCCGTGGCTGTGGCATGTTCGATTCGGTCATCTCAGCTTCGACGCGCTTGGTTGGCTGGAGAAGATGGTCCGAGGGCTGCCCCACATCGAGCACGGAGGCGAGCTGTGTGACAGCTGCCTGGCCAGGAAGCAGAGGAGGCTGTCGTTCCTAAAGGCGGCCAAGTATCGTGTGACAGACACTCTCGAGCTCGTCCATGGCGATCTCTATGGGCCAATCACGCCAGTCACAAATGGTGGTCGATGGTACTTCCTCCTGCTCGTGGATGATTGCAGTCGCTATATGTGGCTGCAACTCTTGACGAGCAAGGATGAAGCGGCGACGGCGATCAAGAAGTTCAAGGTGCGCGTGGAGACGGAGAGAGGCAGCGGATTCACTTCGGCGGAGTTCGCTGCGTACTACGCGGATCAGGGTGTGGTGCGACACCACATCGCGCCATACTTGCCACAACAGAATGGCGTGGTGGGACGGCGGAACCAAATAGTGGTCGGCATGGCTTGATCCACGATGAAGGCCAAAGGCATGCCGGCAAGGTTCTAGGGTGAGGCGGTGACCACGACGATGTTCATCCTCAACCGCGTGCCCACCAAGGCCCTAAAGGGCAAGATGTTGTTCGAAGCTTGGTATGGGCGCAAGTCGAGCATGTCCTTCCTCTGGACATTCGGTTGCATCGGCCACGTCAGGATGACGAAGCTGGTCCTCACCAAGCTGGAGGATAGGAGCACACCGATGGTGTTCCTGGGCTACGCAGAAGGCACCAAGGCGTACCGGCTCTATGACCCACGCGGAGGCAAGGTGGTTGTCTCGCACGACGTCGTGTTCAACGAGAAGGCAGCCTGGGACTGAACAGTTCGAGCACGGGGGAAGCTGGTGGCTTCACCAGCACCTTCATCGTCGAGCACTTGGTCATCCACGATCATGGAGATGCTGGAGTGGAGGCGACCACTCCAGCAACAGAGCCGAGTACTCCTAGGGAGGTGCCAAGCACTCCGGGAGGGATGCAGAGCACTCCGGGAGGGATGTCGAGCACTCCGGGAGGGATGCCGAGCACTCTAGGTGCTGTGTCGATCACTCCGGTGGAAAAGGGAACTCCATCGACACCAATCGAGTTCGTCTCACCTCCAAGTGACATCACTGAGTTCGTGGATGCCTTCCACGAAGGTGAGGAGGTGCGGTTCCGAAGGCTTGACAACATCATCGGTGGCACAGGGCCCTCAGGCCTGGCGGGTGCTGCTCAATGACCCAGAGCTGCTTCTTGTTAGTGCCGAGGAACCACCCACGTTCGCACTGGCCGAGCGCGATGCACACTGGCGATGAGCGATGCTAGAGGAGATGAAGGCGATCGAGGAAAACGAGACTTGGGAGCTTGTCGATCCACCTCCAGGATGTCGTCCGATCGGCCTGAAGTGGGTGTACAAGGTCAAATGGGACGAGCACGACGCCATTGTCAAGCACAAGATGCGCCTTGTCGCCCGAGGCTTTATCCAGCGCGAGGGCATCGACTTTGAGAAAGTATTTGCGCCGGTAGTGCGCATGGAGTCTGTCCGACTGCTACTAGCTTTGTCAGCAGTAAAGGACTGGCGCGTCCATCACCTGGACGTAAAATCGGCCTTCCTCAACGGCGACCTGGCGGAGACGGTCTTTGTTAGAAAACCTCCGGGTTTCGCCGTCAAGGGAGCGGAGCACAGGGTGCTCCGACTGCGCAAGGTGCTCTACCGGCTGCGGCAGGGCCCACGAGCGTGGAACGCCGAGCTTGACGCCACGCTAGACGAGCTTGGGTTCACACGGTGCGCAATCGAGCACGCGCTCTACACGCGGCGACGGGGGAAGGAGGAGCTCGTCGTCGGCGTGTATGTGGATGACTTAATCGTCACCGGCGTGCGTGCGGAGGACATCGACAGCTTCAAACGCGAGATGGCGGCTCGTTTTTGAATGAGCGATCTCGGCGCGCTCTCCTACTACCTCGGCATCGAGGTGAGACAGGGGAAGGAGGCGCTCACGCTTGGTCAGAGCGCGCACGCCTCGAAGCTATTGGAGCGGAGCGGCATGGCTGAGTGCAAGCCGTGCATGACTCCGATGGAAGAGCAGCTGAAGCTGACGAAGGCCAGTACCGCGGCGAAGGTAGATGCAGCACTCGACCGGAGCATCGTCGGCGGTCTACGCTACCTAGTTCACACGACGCCGGACATTGCATTCGCCGTGGGCTACGTCAGTCATTTCATGGAGGATCCCAGAGATGATCACTGGGCTACGGTGAAGCGGCTACTGTACTATGTCAAGGGGACGGTGGATCAGGGGATCGTCTTCCCCAAGACCGGCGGAAGTAGGCTGCAGCTCACTGTGTTCAGCGATGCAGACATGGCGGGGGACATCGACGGACGACGGAGCATCTCTGGCGTGCTTGTCTTTCTCGGGTCGGCTCCAATCTCATGAATATCGCTGAAACAGAAGATGGTGGCGCTGTCTACGTGCGAGGCAAAGTACGTAGCGACGGCCACAGCAGCGTGCCAAGTTGTGTGGCTGTGCCGGCTGCTGGGCGAGCTGATGGTGGACAACCAGCCCGCCATCGGCCTCGTGAAGAATCCGGTTCTCCATGACTGGAGCAAGCACATCGACGTCAAGTTACACTTCCTCAGGGACTGTGTCGATGGAGGGCAGATCGTCAGGGGCAGATCGTCATCGAGTTCGTCGAAACTGGTCGACAACTCGCGGACGTCATCACCAAGCCGCTCGGCCGTCTTCGACTCACGGAGCTGAAAAAGGTGATCGGCATGGAGAGGGTTCTAGGGTTAGCAGCAGGATTAGGAGAATAATTATTAAATAATCTACTGCTCTCTAGTGTGAAAGCACAGTAGGGGAAGGCGGCGCCGAAAAGGCTCCCTGCTGTGGTACTGTAGCCGCTGCAGGGGCAGACGCCGAACGGCTCACCTGCCGTACTGTAGCCACAGCAGGGGCAGGCGCCAAATTCAGCCCTGCTGTCACATCTAGTCACTGTAGCAGCATGATGGCCTAACATGTCTGTGTACTAGGATTAGATGGGTAGAGTTGTATATATAGTTTACCACTGCAACTCAGTAAAGAGAGCGAGTTCAGTTTTGCCATTTCCTCTGCAGGACTCTGGCCAACGCTGGTGCCTGTGCTGTGTGTGCGTGTGCTCTGTTCTCCCTCCCTTTTTCTACTTCTAGCCATAGTGTGTGCTCGGCAACGACAGTGTCGTGGTCGGCAGAGAAGGTGAGTGGTCGGCTCACCCGTGCCGGCGATCCAGAGGGCCAACAGACTTCACATGAAATCAAGTGAGCTAGCTTTTGGGAGGAGAATTTTTTGCCGTGCAATTCGAGAGCACTATTGGGATTGATTCATTCCAGCTTAGCAACCACCACATTAGTTCCCTAGGGCATTGACTGAGGATCTCATACAGGCATTTCGAGCAACAGGGGGTAAGGCTCACCAATCTCCAAAGAGTAATATTCTTTTTTGCTATTGGGCATACCATGTGTTATGCTACCTTGTGATATAGAATCTTTTGCATTTTTTATTTGAACCAGCTTCCCTGTTATGTTACCTTGTGATATAAATGATTTCTCGGGGCTCAAATTGAGAGCTTCCGAGTTCCGACAGCTGGTGCCGTACTGTCTCCTGCACAAGCTACAGCACCCAAGAGCCATTGTGCCTTTGGTGCTGCTGCATGCTGCCGCTACCCACCAAGTTGTCCACGGGCAGAATCTCGGCCTGTGGTTGTGGCTATAAGCCTATAACCAGACCTCTCTTCCATGAAGGTGAGCTCAGAAACTTTCAAAGTTTCTTCCGATTCCTTGCATTGATTACCTAAGACAGAGCTGCTTGGTTGTGGGATGAAATCTGAATGTATTGTTCAATTAGGTACCGGATTTCTTTTGCTGCAATATGAATCTTATCGATCCATCCATGGTTCTGCTTCTATGTTCTAACACATGGTGAGTGTGCACCTAACCAAATATCAGTCGGTTTGATGTGTAACTAATCTCATCTGAGTTTTAGACACACTAACTGTTAGCTTTTGCCTACTGGTCGATCCACAAACTATGCCACTTTATGAACCACAGATAGCTCATGTTCAGAAAAACATCATTTATCGGGTGCATAATCATATCGTGCTTGCTGAAAAAGCAGAACATTCCTATTTCAATTTCAAGGCTGGGTACAATGAGGTAATAATATGAACATTGCTAATTTCGGGGTTGGATGACTATTGCTACTTATTCCCTAATTAGTCTCCTGGTTTTCTAATCAGGACTTCAGCATCTATATATGCTAAGGAAATAAAAATGATAATTTGATTTTGTTTCTTCTATATTTTTTGTTCATATACAAAAGCTGTATGACTCTGTTGCCTTCAATCATCAGTACATGCTTGCTAGCACAAACTGTGTAGATTTTTCGATGCCATATTGAAGCCCCTAACAAGCCCTATATCTCCTCTCAGGTGTCATTCCTCCTCCATCTTGCCTTCTTGATTTCCACCCCTAACACTGAAACTTATTACAGATTATGAGCAATTCACTATGATAAGTACAGTCCTGTTGGGTTTACTCTGCTAGATGCCACATGCATTTCCAGTTTTGCAAATAAAACCGCTAGAGACTCATGTTGTTCATATACTGCTATCATGGCGTGTTTAAAATACTAAGCTGCTTGAGTACTTGGTCATGGCCGTTTTCTGATTCCTAATATTGCATTTAGATTGGCTTAACTATATAATTAGTTCAGTTAGCTCTTTAAGCATCTGCAAGTTTATCCATCCTTTTACTCATGCTATTTGACAATATTAATGTTCATTTAGTTGCCACAGTAGAGATTTTTCTAGAACCTTTTCCTTTTAGTTTGTTCTTCTATGTGATATATTTTCCTACGTACTTTTTACTTTTTAGTATTTATTGGTTAGATAGTAGAACAAAATTTTCAATATTTTTGGTTAGATCGGATTAAAATGTTGCATTATGAGGCTTCGAATTAAATAAGTTTTATTGCCGTTTGTTCATTGTTCTTGTGAGGGAGGTTAACTTTAGATGGCGATGCTCTTATTCTTCTTCACCTAATCTGTATTGGAGAGAGGTTGATGTTTCAACTGGAACCTGCTGCGGGAACAAAAAATGGTTCCATTCTGGAGAAATAATTGCAAAAAGGTTGACACATTGATCGCTTCAGTTATAGGCATGTGTGGTTTTCTGCCTTCAGAGATAACAAGGCTATACAACACGCAATGTGAGCCACACCTCACTGCTTCTCTTGAAGCACTCCAAAAGATGGAGTCTATCTTTTTAGGTTGGTCAGTGTTTTATTCGGCTTCTTAGTTCTTTGTGCTTACATATGCATCTTCTATACTTAAGTATATTCACAAACAGATCTTTGACATTCAGCCTTCAGCTGATCCACAGGTCCATGGTGAAGGTTCCTCCAGTGCAAAACCTACTAATAACACCAAAGTGGTCAGTATCTCTACTCACTAACTAGGCCTCGACATCTAAAAAAATGATATAGCTTTTCCATAGGTTTAAATTATTAGAACATAGGTTTAAATAGTTGTAGTTTTGCTGATGAGCATGACAAACGCTTTTGTGTTGTCAAAGCTACACGTCATCTGTAAAAGAAATATTACAAGTAAAGTTCATGGCGGGTCCGTGTGTTATCCCGGTTCCCGAACTCATAAAGTGTGTCGTTCCGATCCTTAAACTCTGTTCGGATCTCATATTCATCCAAACGGATCTAGGCCCACATGTCAGCTCTATCTCTCATCTCTCACCTTCCTCGTGGCAATGGTCAGCTCGTCACACGTCGGCGCACCGCTGTTCGGCCGCTGCGTCTGCGGCAGCGGCGGCTCGCCTGCGCGTCGGCGGCAGCCGTGGCGGTGCTCGCGTGTCGCCCGAGTGCAGCGCGGCCTTGGCGTTGGCGCGCATGAAGGCGGCGCGCATGACCGCGTCGTTCCTCGTAAAGAAGCTGTCCGCCTCTTTCTCCCCTGACGCGACCAAGCGCGTGGCGCAAGAGATCTGGCAGCTGGCCAAGTCCGGGTCCAACAACCGCGCGTTCATCGGGGAGGCCTGCGCCGCCGGGCTCCTGGTGCCTGTCCGCCGAGCTCCAGCTCAACGCCGTCACGGCGCTGCTCAATCTCTCCATCCTAGAGGCCAACAAGAAGCGCATCATGCACGACCTCGCCTCCCCGTCGAGGGTGTCGTACCTGCTCCGATCGATGCAGGTGAGCAAGGTGAAGCTGTATGTCAGCGTTGCCGGAGTGTCGACGATGAACTCGTCGCCGGCGAAAGCTCAGCTGCAACCACACACAGAAACTCACGCGAACACGACACGATGTAAACACAGTGGAACACGATCTCGTTTTTTGGTGTTGCTAACCAACTGCAGCGTTTTCTCTTTACTGAATATATAAAGCAACAGAATTACAAACGGCCGAGGCCATGATCCCCGACATGCACGCCACTCTCGACATCAGCGAGTGCCATCCCAAACGCCGAGGATCGTTGATGCCGGCGCTGCAGAGACGGCACTGTCTGCGATCGGCGGAGCGGAGGCCGCCGCGGCAGTGCTGGCGAAACGCGGCGGCGCGGAGGCGATCTTCAGGTTGGACGGCGCCTGTGGCGCGGTTGGTGGCCGAGATGCGGCGCGGCACGGAGTGCGCGGCGGGCGCGATGGTGCTGCTGTGCCGGCGCGCAGGTGCCGCCGCGGCATCGCAGGTGATGGCGGTCCCAGGTGAATGATGCCGAGCGATGAGCGCGTACAGCGCCCCGCTCGTCCCGCACGACGTCGCGCCGCGGTCCACCATCACGACGATCCGCCCGAACGTGATGCACGGGCACGATCCACGATCTGCGGATCACGATCCATGATCCACAAGACCAAGACCCGTTTGGATGAATATAAGACCCAAACAAAATTTAAAGACTCGAATGACACATTTTTTAAGTTTAGGAACCGGGATGACACACCTTCAAAAGTTCAAGGACCGCCATGAATTTTACTCAAATATTACACTAGCAACTTTGATCTTAGTATTGCAGGGTGGAGCCATGCAGTTTGGTTGTACATGCATCCATTGCATGGATGAATCTTACGTGTTCTCTCATTCTACCAAAAGTGAAGGACTGTATATTTTTCTTAAATAATGTATTATCATGTTGAGCACATTCATGTAAACAACAATTATGAGATTCTACTTCAAATTCTTTGTCAAAATAGCAGTTCAACTGCTGCTAATTGTTTACTTCTTCATTTGTATGATTAGTTGCTGCTAATTGTTTCCTCCGGCATTTGTGTCTATTTATTGTTTAGCATAGCAACTCTGATAGTGCTATATACCTCATTCACCATCGAAGTCATTATTCGTTCTTTTCGCAATATAATCTCCTAGCAACTGGTCTAAATTATGTCTAAAGTGAGACGTCCCTGTTCAAAGCAACCAGAATTGCTCTCATATGCATTAAAGAAGTCAATATTACTACTGACCTAGTAATATTGTATATATTGGCTTTGGTCGACCGTCAAGCAGCTTTGTTGGGTTTCGGTTTGAGTAGGCTGGCTGGCGGATTCCAGTGCACTAAAAAAAAGAGTTTCATGAATTTATCTTTGGAGCATACTCTTCATTCGTGTGGTTCTTCGAGGAAGGGGTTATCCTTACCAAAGACAGCCTCGCTAGTAGAAATCGAAAATGTTATGATGCGGGCGTCCGTCTGTCCGGACGCTGTGCTTTCTGGGCCTGCACGTTCCCGGCCCAACAAGCCTGCTTCAATCTACCTTCCTTCATGGTTTCTCCAAAAAAAAAGCGACATTTCCCAAATCACGCATCCATTGTGGCGTTCCCCACCGCTCGCCCTCCCGCTCGCCTTCTCCAACACAGGGGCACCTCACCGCAGGCACGACACCCACCCGTCGCGACCTTCTCCAGCGCGGGAGCGCCTTGCCGCGCGAGCCCGCACTTGCCCAACCGCCGTTGCCGCCTCTAATGTCGGATCTCGCTTCTCACCGGGGCCTGCGCAGCTGCCCGCCCATTGCCATCCTCCTTCTTCACCACGACCTAATGTCAGATCTCGCTTTGCAGTGCTCCCCACCTTTCAGGGTTTGCTGAAAGCGCATGTTGCAAGCGGATATTTAAAGTGTTTTAGATGTTTTAGAGATATGTTAGATGTTGCAAAAGTAGATCGAGATGTTGCATATGGTTTGTACACATATGTTGCAAGCGCATGTTCGTAATGTTTCTTCTGTTTTTTAGACGCATGTTGCAAGTGTGTTTATCTGAATGTTTCACATGTAATTTCTTGAGTGTTCATTTGCTAAATTATTTCTTTGACTTGTTATGCAGGTTGTCAGGTTATGTTTGGAATTTCACCTCCAACTAATGTAAATGGTATATTCAGCCAATTGTCTAATGAAGGGGCCGGGTCGTAGAAATTATAAACACTTTGACAAGGCGGTAACATATTTTGCTAGACGTTTTGGTTGACAAGAAATTAGTTTGTTTTTGACAAGTGGAAACCAAAAACAAATTTTGCAAGTCATGTTCGAGGGACACATTGGCTTCGCGGTTCTGGGTGTAGTTGCAACAATGTGATGATCAGAAGTTGTTCATCCAGGGATGTAGCGCATTGGAATCGGCAACATGCGGTTTTTCTCCTCCCGTAGA